GGCCACGATTCACATTCGCAGACATTTTGAGAACATAAACATTCCTATTACATCACTCAGCAGAAGGCTCATTTATTATAACATGGAGACAGGCATAGAAAGTATACCATGCAAATCAAGGGCATCCTGTATTTTTACAAGAGGATTTGCTGAAGGTTAAGAGATACTTGAAAACATATCTTCCATGACAGCCCCCAAACAGACGCCCTTTCACTAATTCTTTGTAGGCATATGCTTGATCAGCTCTATGTTCAGTGTCCATGGGAAGCAAAAGTGTGTAAATAAGTGATCTTTGCTCTCAAACTGTAATGCGCACGCAGACCCTCTGGGGATCTGGTGGAGAGTCGGATTCTTGTTGAGTAGACCTGGGGCAGGGCCAAGCTCCCACACACACACTCTGCATTGAATACACCAAATTATTCACAAGGTAAACAGGAAGCTTTAATCTGCGATCTGCATATCTTTGAAGAACTGATAAGGATCACATTCCTTCAGAAATTAGTGATAACTGGGTTCCACTGTGTGTCTTCCCGCCAAATGGCACAGATGAATTGCTGCTTTCAAATAGTGGCCAGGGCAGCTCCTCACCTGGCCAGATGTCTGCTGGAAAAGGGCCTGAAAGATGAAAAGCTAGACAGCTCCTAGGAAGTCGAAAGGCGATCCTTGGAAGCCAGAGCAGCTGAACAAAGATTTCAGGTAACACGCAGCAGGACTGGACAGAATAAAGGATTTGTCAACCAGTGTCCGTGTGTAACGAAGTTCAGAGCTGGGTGCAGCCTGAGAGACCCCATGCACCCCCCACCAAGCCTAGTTTGGGGTGTTGGGAAGAGCAGCAGCACAGGGATTGAGAGTTACTTTGCATGTCAGTAACAGCAGGCTAGCTTCATGGTCTCCCTGGGCCTGGGAGACTGTGTGACTTTGACCCACGATGCGATGTAGCTGGGAGGCGCTCCCCGCCCCCCACCCCACCGTGAAGTGCCTGCCTGAGAGCTTGGAGAAGGTTCACTCCGTGCTCTGGGGCCACGCCTGCCCAACTAACTATGGCAGCCAAGAAAGGCAGACCGCATGGGAGGGCTAGCAGGTGTAGCCAACTGTGGCAGGGGTCGGAATTGGGGTTACGGAGGAGGGTCCAGGCTGGGATTCAGACAAAAAGGAGGACCATCTTGTGGGACAATGAGAAACAATGTGGGAACCTGGTGGGACCATGCAGGTAAAACAGGGGTGAAAGGACTGTCGTTGGCAGGCCATGAGGAGGAGGTGCCACGTGATTTTGGATTAAGAACTGGAGATCACGACGGCACAGCGGACGGTGCGCAGAACCGCGGGGGGCCTGCCCAGCTGAGCACAGATTACTGCGAGGAATTGGGAGAACTGAACAGCAGGCTTCTGTGTTTTGGTGGGTGTTTTCTTTCTTTCTTCTGGAAGGCAGTACTTCTGACTGGCATGCTCTGAGACTGGCCTGGCTGGGCAAAGCCGGCGGGGAGGGGCAGGACTGTGTGTTTGTGGGTGTATCTTTGTTACTTAAGGGAGTGAGATTTAAGGGCAGAATTCCGCCATTATTCTAAACTTGCATAACTTTGAATTAAATAATTCCTTTCCTTTTTGCCAAACTCTGGTGTTGAGAGTCACAGTTCCTAACACAGTGGCTGGGCGCAAAAGAACCTGGAGTGACCAAAGACCTAGGGGGCGGGGTCTTTTTTTTTTTTAGGTTGTAAACCACGAGAAATCACTGAACTGTAGCACTTTGTTTTGAGAACTATTTTGGGCAGTTTATGAACATAATGAGCTTATGAGTATTTATGGAAACTTTGCTTAGAGAAGAAAAAGTAAGAACAAGACTTTCCAAAGACAAAGTCCTCAAAAGACACTAACTAACTTGAAGAACTGGAGAAACAACAACAATAAATCAAAGGGTACACAGCAATGCAATAGAAGAAGAAGAAATCAGAAAAAATATACCATTCGATATAGCACGAAAAAAGATAAAGTACCTAGGGATAAATTTAACCAAAGACACAAAAGACCTGTATGCAGAAAACTATACAACATTGAAAAAAGAAATTAAGGAAGACACAAATAAATGGAAGCATATACCGTGCACATGGATTGGAAGAATTAATATCCTTAAAATGTCCATACTACCAAAAGCAATTTATAGATTCAACGCAATCCCTATTAAGATACCAATGACGTATTTCACAGAAATAGAACAGACATTTCAAAAATTTATATGGAACCATAAACGACCTCGAATAGCCGCAGCAATTTTGAGAAACACAAAGTAGGAGGGATCACAATACCGGACATCAAACTCTACTACAAAGCCACTATACTCAAAACAATCTGGTACTGGCACAAGAACAGACCCATAGACCAGTGGAACAGAATAGAAAGCCCAGAAATAAGCCCAGGTCTCTATGGACATCTAATATTCGACAAAGGGGGCAGAAGCATAAAATGGAGCAATAACAGCCTCTTCAACAAATGGTGTTGGGAGAGCTGGATGGCTACATGCAAAAAATTGAAATTGGATCATCAGCTGACACCATACACAAAAATAAACTCAAGATGGATAAAAGACTTAAATATAAGTCGCAACACCATCAAAGTCCTAGAGGAGAATATTGGCAGGAAACTCTCAGATATCCCACGCAGCAATTTTTTCACTGATATGTCTCCTAAAGCAAGGGACATAAAGGAAAGAATAAACAAGTGGGACCTCATCAAAATAAGAAGCTTCTGCACGGCTAAAGAAAACATCAGCAAAATGAAAAGGGAGCCAACCATTTGGGAAAATATATTTGCTAATGATACATCAGATAGAGGTTTGATCTCCAAGATATACAAAGAACTCACTCGACTTTACTCCAAGAAGACAAACGATCCAATCAAAAAATGGGCAAAGGACCTGGGCAGATGCTTTTCTAAGGAGGAGATACAGAGGGCCCAGAGGCATTTGAAAGGATGCTCTGCATCACTAGCCATCAGAGAAATGCAGATCAAAACCACCATGAGGTACCACCTCACACCGGTCAGAATGGCCATCATAAACAGATCCACAAACAACAGGTGCTGGCGAGGCTGTGGAGAAAAGGGAACCCTAGTCCACTGTTGGTGGGAATGCAGACTGGTGCAGCCACTATGGAAAGCAGTGTGGAATTTCCTCAGAAAGCTGAAAATGGAACTGCCTTTTGATCCAGCGATTCCCCTGCTGGGACTATACCCTGAGAACACCAAAACGCCAATACAAAAGAACCTATGCACCCCAATGTTCATAGCAGCACAATTTACAATAGCCAAGTGTTGGAAGCAACCTAAATGCCCATCAGTAGATGACTGGATCAAAAAATTATGGTACATATACACAATGGAATACTACGCAGCAGAAAGAAAAAAAGAAGTACTAAACTTTGCGACAGCATGGATGGAACTGGAGAGCATCATGCTAAGCGAAATAAGCCAGGGGGCGAAAGACAAATACCATATGATCTCACCTATAAACGGAACCTAACCAACAATGCAAAGAAGCAAGGAAAATATGACCAGCAACACTGAAAGGAAAAGAAATCAACAGAGACAAGAGGGAAGGGGGGGCAGGGAAAGGGAAGGGAAGGGAAAAGTCAAGGAACATATAGCAAGGACTCATGGACAAAACCAAAGGGGAAGAGCTGAGGGAGGGAAGGTGGGAGGGGGCAAGGGAAAGAGGTGGGGGGAAGGCAGAGACAAATGTATTTAAAAAGTAAATAAATTAATTAAAAGAAAAAAGAAAGCTCAGGGCAGGGCCTAAAGCTGACACTTTAAGTTAGTGGCACCAAGAGAAAAAACAAAGAGAAACCCAGATTTGGGCCGATTATGTCACTGCAGACAGGCATTGTCTCCTTGAATGCTAAGCGTGCTCTGCCTACTACTCTTGCAAGGGGGAGCTTGGGTTCTAAATAAGAATAAAAACTAGCAATGTATATTTACCAGGAGAGAGAGCTCCTTTAGGGTAACTTGTCATCACACATCATAATTTCAGGTAATAAGAAGATCAAGTTTAACAACAAAGATGACTGAGCACATGCCTGTCTTGCAATAGGATTTGCAGTCTTGATCAGTGTCTGCCCGATGAAGTTGTCAAGGACAAATGCTCTTTCTTAATAAGGACTTATAGCTCTGATCTAAGGGGCGTGAGGTAATACTCATTATTTATGAACTGCTCAGAGAATTTTAAAAAATTAACTCCTTAAAAAACGAACATGAGATCATTTCTCTCTTCAATAAAGATTCCAAGGCAAATAGCTAGAGTGCTATGATTTTTATTTCAAGTTACAATGTACACAGGCATATTTACTTGTATAAGGACCTTTAATAGAATTGTCTGTTTTCCAAAGAACAGCCTGTGAATTCTGGCGAAAGTAGACTAGATGAATGTTAATTCTTGATTCCTGATCTCCACTTAAATTTTGAACATTTGGTATATTTTAGATGGCAGGAAACCAAGGATGAGTCTAATAAGCTGACCCTAAATTAGTTTTCTTATTGGAAGAAGATAGTTTTATACCATGTAATTTGTTGCCAAATTAATAAATGGCAGTCCATCACAAATAGTTTTATAAGTTGATTAACCCTTTATGTGAAGAGTTTCAGTGATTCCTAAGTGCTTACTTATTATTTTATTAGTTCCAGCTTCAGAAAAAAATGTGAGTTTTATTTTGTGTTGAGGTCAAGTCATTAAGGGCAATTCTTTTCCTGTTTTCTCCTTTTCCCACTGCCATGAAAACACAAAAAAACACTTTCAAAGGAAAGGATACTGAGCAGGTTAGAAATTAAGCAACCATATTTTAATCAATAAATATGAACATTTGTTAACCAGCTATTAGACAGAATAAAGTAGTAATTTACCAATTCAAAAGATAATGCCATATTGAAAACAAAGTGCAAAAATCTTTGCTATGAAATTTCCAAGTAGAGAATTAGAGATAAGAAAAAAATGTACTCAGAATAAGGCTTGAAAAAAGCTAAAAAGTTTCAGGTATCTATTAAAGCTAAAATAGATTATTTTTCACATAGCAGGCAATACATAGATTATCTGACAACTGAATGAATGAATGATTGAACGGCAGAATATCAGGATGTCAGGGAATATAAGTAGATCTGTTCACATTATGGGCACGCTTACACTCACTCCCTATTCCTCCCCTGCCTCATTCACTCTCCCTTGCTTCACTGCACTGCAGGGAAATATACTTCCCAAGGCCCTTGTCAACTGGCTTCCAGGCGGGGCTGGAAGGGTAGGTGCTGGAGGAAGACTCCAGGGCAGAAGACTGCGCCAGGGTACCTCTCCATGCATGCCTCACCTGGAGTTTCCCCCTCAGGCAGCAGCTTCACCCTGCCGTGGCTCCATTTTCCATAGCCCCTCTCCTCCTCGTTGGTGGGTCCCAGCTCCCACCAGGCAGCCCCTCACTGTGGTTCCAGCTCTGATAAGTGATCTCCGGTTCTGGACTCAGGGAAACACACTGCCTCACAGCTCTAGGTAACAGCTTCCTTGTATCTGGCTTCTCTTTTATCATCTTTGTAAGTCAATTTCTTTTATTCAATTCCCTCTATTGAAACACCTACAACGGCTTTTGTTTTCCTGGCCAGATCCTGACTCATACTTAACAGTCATTAAATTATTTTCCCCTGTAACTTAGTTGGGGATCTGCATGAGAATCTGCCCTAAGCCACGGAAAAAAACTCAAATCACACTCTCTACCGACCTTGTGCAATACAGGGGGGTGAATACCCGCTTGGCTGTGTTTTGTCAAGCACCGGGACTCTTTTTGCCAGGTACAAATATGACTCTGGCTGTCCACCAATGTCACCTCCAGTCACAGTGGACGCAGCCAAGAGGCATCTGCAGAGGTCATTTTTGTTGTATGTGCTATGTGTGACAACAGGAGGAAGCATACTTAACAACAAAAAAAGAATCTTCAGAGGAAATTACAAAGTCATCAAATAGATTAACATCGTGGAAATTCAGAGGACATAAGACAGCACCAGAGTTTCTTTCCGTTGATTCAACAGATTTTCCTGAAATAAAAATCCTTTAGAATTTACAGATATTTCAAGAGCATCAAAAAAATATCCATCAACAAATAATCGATTGCTTTTCAGCTAAATCGCACCCCTGGAATGGTCATTTTGAGAAGATGAGCGTCTTGGTGAGCATGGAGACCACACAGGGGATCTGCTTCTTCGCATGGAAGCGGGCATCGTTGGACTGAGACTCGCAGTACCTGGCCACCCTGTAGTTCACTCTGGTGAGGATCTGCAGGATGTCCAGGCTTCTCCCATGCTCGTTCAGGGTGGAGCAGAGGGCCTGCACAAACCACGAGCCATTTCTTGGGTTCCTCCAGGAGTAATAGCCTTCAAAGGGAGAGAAAGATCATCAAATCAGTTGATTACGGCCCTGCTCACCACTGAGAGTAGCTCTTGGTGTTTGGGGCTTTCACACAAGCTTTTCTGAAAACATCTCCCTCCATCCTGCCTGCGAGTCTCTAAAGAGAATTACACTGGTGCAGTCAGAGAGCAGGCATCTCAGGTTTAAAGGGCTGCTTGAAGACACTCAACAATATATGTCAGCACTGATACCTGTCAGAGACACGCTGAGCAGGGAGCCTCCCAAAAGACGTGCTGGCAAATGCTCCGTAACTGGAATCCCTGACCACCCTTTGGGGTGAGTGCTGCTTTTTAATCCAAGCAGGGGACCTCAGGGAATTTTGAGATGTGTTCCTGCTGATGAGGGAGAATTATAGGCTGGTTCCCGCTGAAGAAATCTGGGAGTGAGAGGTGGCTTAGGGACAGAGCCAGGAGCGTCTGCTGCTCTGAGGGGCCAGCTCTGTGAGGCATGCATATGTTTCTCGTGGACCACACGTGGTCTATGGCAGAGGAAGCTGGCTGCTGGTTTGCCCTGCGTTCTATCCAACAGGGTTTCTTGTAGGGGCAAGGAGACCTCAGCAGAAAGAGGCTGGACAAGTACCCAGGAGGATGATCAGGAGCTGAGGAAAGAATCACAATGCAGAGCCAAGAACGGAGAAGCAAATCCAATGGTGAAGGAGAAGCCGGCCCAGGGAACCTAGGGGCTCATGAAAATGCCCAAGAGGAAGGCATGTCATTGGTCCAGAGCACAAGAAGCCAAGTGACATGGCACCTGGGTCTTACCCTTAACTCACTACCCTCCCTCTCTACCTCCCTCCCACCTTTGACCGCAGGAGAATTTAAAAAAGGGATCTGTAAGTGAAGGAGGAGGTGAGAAAGCTGGAGGATCAAGGTCCCTTAGCACCTTGGCCAGACAGCAGGGCTGATTTGGAATTTGGAGAAACTGAAAGCCAAGCCAGGTGCAGGATTTTAATTATTTTCTCAGCCTGCACACACTAGCTACAGTATTGTGACTGCCTCTGACTATATATTGTCTAGCAGCTTAGCATAAGCAGCAACGCTATGGATCTGCTGGAGTTTTCATTTAGGAGCAAGAGAAGATTCCACTGCCCCCATACCCCAATTTAAAAGGGTGGGGTGAAATGTAAGCTGTATTTGGTTTATGTGATGAGCTGTGCTCCTTCCAGCCAATTGGTTACACCGATTTGATGAGAACTGGGTTATTGTCATTATCATTTATAATAATCAGTTATTAAATAAGTGTATACTAAACAGAAATAACCTATCTGGTACTGTGACTGAGGTGCACTCAGAATTCTTAGTACATAGAGCAACTACCAGCACGTGGACTTCTCTATGGTGTTAGCGGTAGGACAACGCATTTTGTTTGCGAGGGGGTGCCACCTAATTATCTCATTCAATACAGGAACCTGCTGAGGCTAAGACATACACTCCCCTCTCGTTGCATTACTGCCCCAGGTCTGTCTCCTCTAACCCCTGTCCTGCGTGGTCTCTGAGATACCTACTGTACTAACACAAATCTTACCCTGTGACTCGCCTACCTGAAATAGTTCCCTTGCACCCCATATCATGGCGAAGTTCAGGCTGCTTAGCACAGCACACAGCGCCTACCACAATGGGGCTCCCTGTCTACCTGTCCAGGTTTGAACTTGCCCATACCCTGCATCCTGGGTGGTCACCTCTCTCTCTCAATTGCTCTGCCACGTGAGGGCACAGTGAGGAGGCAGCGGTCTGCAAGCCAGGAAGAGAGCCCTCATCACAAACCAAATCAGCCGGCGCCTTGATCTTGAGCCTCCCAGCCTCCAGAAATACACTTCCGTTGTTTTAAGCGCCCCAGGCTGTGGTGTTTTGTTACGTCTGCCTGGGCTGACTAACATACCCTTGGTGTAGTCTCAGGAGTTTTATGAATGACCCCTCAGCACTCGTTTTGGTAAGCCATCTTTCTCTTTCCTCTGTTTGATTTTTCAAGACTTAGTTGTTATAACGGCTCTCTTTTTTCTTAGGGAAGCCTCTGTCACCTGTCTCCTGAGGGTTCACCCTTCTTCCTTGATTGCCCCCCAATCCCGCTCAGAGCACCTACCACCCAACCTCTGAGTCTGCTCACAGACAAATGTCACCGTTATACCACCTCCTTCTCAAGAGCAGGAAGACCAGATTATTTTCTTAAACTTTAAAGCTTGTGAAGTTATCATTCTCACAAAACCTGATCTGTAGATCCTGTCAGAGATGGTTTTCCAAACACTGGGTGACTTACTATAACTAATACCTTGGTATCAAGCCCTTTACAGATTACTCGATAGCTGGAAGCATTCTGACTTAGTGATGGTTTTTACCTCGCTGATGAAACAAAGGAACACCTTTCACTGAAGTGACTCAGGCAAACAGAGAGCAGGTTATCTCTTCACTGGCATTTTGCGGTGTTTGTTTATAGCTTGTGGTGTACTCCTGTAATCTTGGCCTGTGCTATCTAGCTTTATCGTGTCTTGAAATCTCCTTGTGACCTTCAGCATATCGCTTAAGCTCACCCAAGCTCATTTTTTTCATCTATAAAATCAGGATAGCGATAACACCTTTCCTAACTACCTATACAGTTGCTATACGGATATGTGGTAAAAGACATGAAACACGCTCTAAATTTAAAGTGCTATAGGAATGTTTGCTCTTATAACTGCCGATGATAACAGTAGTAATACACGAGGGAATCCTGCTTTCTAGGAGAGAAGAGTGAATAGATCCCTGCAGTGAGCAGAATACTGGCCCCAGGGATGTCCATGTTCTCACCTGGGAACCTGTGCCTGTGTCACCTGACGTGGCAAAAAGGACTGTGCAGATGTGACGAAGGTTAAGGGATTATCCTGAACTATCCAAGTGGACCTGATCTAATCACAGGAGTCATTAAAGGAGGATGACCCTTCCCAGCTGTGGTCAGGGTGTGAAGTGAGGAGGGAAGGTTCAGAGGGATGTGGGGCTGTTGACCCTGAAGCTGGAGGGAGGGGGCCAGGGCCAAGGATCGTGGGAGGTTCCAACATGCTGGAAAAAGCAAGGACGTGGGTTTTATCCCCTACAGCCGTGGGAAGGAACGCAGCCCGGCCAACGCATGCTGGAATTCTAACCTTCAGAACCTTAAGGTCATACATTTGTGTGTGTTAAGCCACAATGTTTTTAGTAACTGATCACGGCGGGAATGGGAAACGAATACAGCCCCAAGCCTACCCGCTGATAGTGGAGTGGCACGGTCCTGTGAGCAGACAAGGGACTTCATACCTGGAACTGTGGAATAGGCGAAGAGAAAGTCGGCCTCAACTGGGACCTTGTACTGGGGAGTGGCATCTGTGTCACTGATAGGCCCCGAGTCGGCCTGGATCCCGTCATCCAACTCCGTCCCCCGGCACGCCTAAACAGCAAAGCAGAGATCACTCTGTGGGGCTGGGAACAGAAACGTGTGCTGTCCCCTGCTGTGCCCCGGTGCCTAGGACTGTGCTTGGCCTGTACTGGGAGCTCTGCCATGATCGGATGAGCAACTAAATGAGTGCTGAATTGGTCAGCAGAGCCAATAAAAGTGTTGCAGTGTCTTAAAGAAACCCTCATGATTTGTGGTCTGCAGCAAACACAGAAGCCAAGCATTTAGAGGTAGGAAAACAAAACCCAAATTGGCACACCCCCGACTGAAAAAGCACAGAGATCTGTAAAGACAATACAAGTCCCTCTGTAACCTCTGCCCGTGTTCAGTGCGACTGGCTTTGACGAGGGAGTACCTGGATGAAGAAGAGTTTGGGTTTCTCTAAGAGGGTTTTGCATCTGTCCCCCCGAAAATAGCTCGTCAGTTCCTTGATTGCGATCATGCCATCGGTGCCATAAATTAATTCTTCTTCTCCGTGGCTTAGTAAGATGCAGGCGAAGCAGGCTGAATTTCTGTGGTCCTCCTCAGAGGCTGCCAGCAATCAATTCAAAGATCAGAAAGTTAAAACAAGCCCTGTGGGACCTCAGAGGTAGGATTCCCTTCCAGCCTGGCAGCTCCCTCTGACAGAGAGCTGTTTGTGGGGAGGAACAGCCCTCCAGAGTGAAGGAGGTCCAGTGAAGATTCTAGAATTCTCAGCCAGAAACCAGAACGGAGCTATCTCCTGAGAAAGTGAGCCCCACCCACGGGGGAGGTTCAGGCAGCTGCTGGGAGGCAGCATTTTGGGGTGCTGACGGGGGTGACTCCACTGTTTTTTAGGTCTGTGACACAGGGCAAGTTCCTTTGCCAATCTGTGCCTTGGTTTCCCTGTCTATAAAATGGGTACGACAGTACCTATTAAATGAGTTAATATTTGTAAGGCAGCCCACGCAATAAGGGTTGTGCAAGTATTTGGTAAATAAAACATCATGTTAAGTGAAATAAGCCAGTCCCCAAAAGATGAAGACCTTAGCAGGTACCTAGGAGTCAAGTTCACAGGCAGAAAGCAGAATGGTGGTTGCCAGGGGCTGGGGGAGGGGGTAAAGTCATTCTGAGGTATATGAGGATTATTCTTCTGTATCTACCAGGGAAAAGTTTAAGAGTAACTGTGTGGTAGGCAGAATGATGTCAGTTTGTGACTTCTCTAGGAATTAGCCTTTTGAAATCGAGACTGTTCTGTAGAGACAGATCCTGTTTATTCTCTTGCTATTATATAAGCTGACTTCATCTTTTTAGGGAAAGATGTATGTTTCCTAAAAGAGACCCACTACCCTGGAGACAGGTATGGGAGGCGTGGAGGAAGGAAAGGCTTCCCCTGCTAAAATCCCTGTGTCCTGCAAAACATCCTCCAGAGACTGGCTGGGGCCCCGCCCCTATCAGGAGCAGGAAGAACACGGGGCAGGGTGCGGGGCGGGGGGCGGGGGGGGGGGGTTGGGGGGAGGCACGCACCATTTTTCAGCAACTCTTTCATCTTAGCGCAAGAGCAATCATTATAGACGACCACGTCGAAACCCAGGTTTCGGAAGCACTTGAAAAGAGCCTCGGCGTCTCTGTCTGTTCCGTCCCGGACGCTCATACCTGTGGGAATCAAGCAGCGGTTCATGATGAGCAATCCCTGGCTGAGTACTGCATGCGGCATCATTCGGCCAGGCACCAAATGCAGCCAGATGGTAACTCTCTGCTGCAGTCAAGGCCAAACAGCTGCCTTCGATTCTTAGCTCACACACATGGTAGGACCCCAGACTAAAAGTTCCCGATTTCTCTGCATCCCTTTCTCTTGGACATGCAAATACTATCTACGAAGGGGCTGTCTGCCACAGCAGATGGGCACAGCATGCTCTTCTGAAGGTCTGATACAAACCTTAACCCCAGCTGAAGAAGGTGGAAGAGAACAGGAAAGGTTAGCCCATGCCCAGAACACCTACTTGTTGATGGGTCGAAGTTCTTGTTGTTTATTATGATGCATTTGCCCACTTTCTCAAAATTCATGCTATACACATAGGTAGGCCCTCCATCGTGGGTGGTCTTGGTTGATTTCCTAGAGCCACTTTTCTTCTTCACACTGGAGGAATAAAAAGCCAGTCAGGGGCTGTGGTTCTGAGAAGTCTGAACAGTAGTGGCTTGTTGTTTTCACTACCAACCTGAAAGCTGCCTAAGAAAGCTGCAGTATCTGTGACAAAAAGACCTGGGCTAAACAGATGGCTCTGTTTAATAATCACATTTAAAAAGAACGTGCGTCTTGCTCTGGCGAGTGTAGCTCAGTTGGTTGCAGCATTGTTTCATGGACCAAAAGTTTGCAGGTTCGATTCCAGCTCAGGGCACATGCCTAGGTGGCAGGTTTGGTTCCCATTCAGAGTGCGTATGAGAGGCAACTGATCACTGTTTCTCTCTCACATTGATGTTTCTCTCCCTTTCTTCCCTCTCTCTAAAATCAATAAGCATGTCCTTGGGTGAGAATAATAAATAAATAAATAAATAAATAAATAAATAAATAAATAAAAGGAACGTGCATCTTAATTTCATTAGAAGCCAGAGGAATGCAAATTAAAATCACAACACAATACCAGAATGGCTGCAACGTGTTGGTGACCATTTGCAGCACGCAGAATTGTCACATATTGGTAAGAGCCTACTTTATACATCCACTGTGATCACTGGCAGAATTCTATGAAAACTGAGCTTAAACATAACCTGTGAGAGAGCAATTCTACTCCTGGGCATGTACCCCAAAGTGAGCAAACATGTCGCCATAGCATGACAACAGCATGTGGAATAATAGCCCCAAACAGGAAATAATCCAAATGTCTAATTGCAATGGAATGGATAACCTGATGAATGTTCATATAAGGCACATCAGACAACAATAAGAATGAAGAAAAACCATGACAACATGAAGCCTCGTGAATGAACCTCACAAATACAAAACTGAACAATATAAAACTTGGTCCTTTTAAAAAATCTGTTCTGAAAAATTGCTGAATCCTTACTACCTAGAACAATGCTTGGCAGATAAGTTGCTCAATAAGTATTTTTTATAAACTACAGGTCAATCTCCCTTATGAATATAGATGCAACAAGTCCTTAACAAAATATGAGCAAGTGAAATCCAGCAATCTATAAATGGGATTATGCACCAGGACCAATGTGATCAATCCCAGGAATATGAGGTTGGGTGGACTTCCAAATATCTATGAATGTAATACATCATATTAGTAAAGAACAAAAACCATACCACCAACTTGATTGATACAGAAAAAGCATTTGACAAAATCCAACACCCTGTTATAAACAAAAACACTAAAGAAACTAGGATGGCGGTGGAACTAACTCAACTTGAGAAGGATGTCTATGGAAAACCCACAGCGTCGCATTTAATGATGAAAGAATGAATGCTTTGCCCACCAAGGTCAGGAACAATCACACATGTCCGCTCTTGCTACTTCTACTAAATACTGTATAAGAGGTTCTAGTGAGGGGAATTAGGTTTAAAAAAAAGTGTTATATCAATGAATGAATGAATGAATGAATGGAGTCTAATTCCCTCACTTTTTGGATATGAAAACTGAAGTCCACAGAGAAGCAGGGGGTTGTCCAAGGTCACCCAGCTTGTGGTTGGCAAAGTGGGACCATCAGACTTGCAAGTCCGTGTTCCAGAGGCAGATGTCCTTGAATATTTGTTAGAATGATCCACCCACCATTCTGCTCAAACTCTTGTCAATGTTGGAAGAAGTGAAATTGAAAACTAAGCATATTACCTGGCAACTGTGGGTCCAAGGACGCTTCACTCTGGGTTTTCACTCTTACTTGTTGGGGTTTCTCAGAATCCCTGAAAGAACATGGCCTTCCCCTTACCCCCTTATGCCTTGGTCCAGATTACAGAGGAGCTCTGTATGTTAAGACTTCAGATTCCTCCACTTTTGTAAGGCTGAATTTCTCCCACAGCAGTTTATTTTTAATAGAGAAGTCTCCTGAATCTGTTCTCCTAATGCCTCCCTCCCTTGTTTGTTGTCCAGGTACAGGTGACGCCAGGTTCTCTTCCCACGTCTTGCCCCAGAGGCAGCCCCCAGAGGGCACTGGACTTGGGGTCAGGCAGGGGTCTGCGTCCCTCCTCCCCTGGGACCTGGCACCTGATGCCTTTCCCAGAGCATCAGCCTCTTCTTCTGCAAAATGGAACCTTCTGTGACTGTCCCAAAATTAGATGGGGAATTGGTGGGAGCAGCTAGTCCCATGAAGCCTTTTCCTCTCCCAGGCCTCTAAAAAATCGCAGAGGAGTATCAGCAAATCGCGTTTCTGCACTATGGAAGGACCTGCCGTATGAGATGGACTTCCTTATTGCTGCCCTGATCCCTACTAAGAGTGTCCTTTGTGCGTGTGAAAATAGCTGCACACAGCCTCGCACAGGCACACTATCTCTGGTCGTTAGTTGATGCTCCTGAGGTAGGTGGAGGGAGTGTCACCACATCCATTGTGTAAGTCCTAACAATGACAAGCACCAACTTACTACGGCTGGGATTGTGTACTCTCAACTGCATTTTCCCATTGACTCCTGGCAGGTCTGCAGGTCACTTAAGGCCACCCAAAGACCCTAGTAAGAGTAGCACTGAAGCTGGTAGGCTGGAGGGCGCAGGTAATGCACTAAAGCTCTTTCAGAGATAAAATTCTACTGTCGTCTTTGGCAATATGGAGTATTTTAAAACAAACCATACTACGATATCAGAGTGATAAACAAGATGGGATTTCTTTTAAGCTGTCATCAGTCCGTCCTCCATCATGAGCAAAAAAAAACCAGTGAGCACCTTTTATAAGAAAAATAGTGTTGACCCTGGCTGGTGTGGCTCAGTGGGTTGAGTGCCGGCCTGGAAACCGAAAGGTCGCCAGTTTGATTCCCAGTCAGGGCACATGCCTGGGTTGTGGGCCAGGTCCCCAGCTGGGGGAGTGTGAGAGGCAACCAATCAATGTATCACATGCACATTGATGTTTCTCTCCCTCTCTTTCTCTCTCCCTTCCCCTCTCTTTAAAAATAAATAAATAAAATCTTAAAGAAAAAGAAAAACAGGCTTGGGTAAGTTAGGTGGGAAAAAAAAAAAAAAGGAATTGGTTTCTATCAAAATAGAATTCGGAAAAATTAACTGTTGGTTTTTTTTTTTTAAAGGAACACAATAGGGAAATAAAGACACATACACTTTAAAGAACACGCTTTCCATGGTTAATGAAAAATGCCTTAAAACTGAACATGGGCTGCCCTGCTGTCTGGTCCCGCGGACCCACAGCCAAATAGGCCCAGTTGTTGCGTGCACCATGTCTGGTTCCTCAAGTGTCACCGCTATGAAGAAAGTGGTTCAACAGCTCCGGCTGGAGGCCGGGCTCAGCCGCGTGAAGGTTTCCCAGGCAGCTGCAGATGTGAAACAATTCTGTCCGCAGAATGCCCAACATGACCCCCTGCTAACTGGAGTATCTTCAAGTACCAGTCCCTTCAGACCCCAGAAAGTTTGTTCCTTCTTGTAATGAAATGAATCTTTGAAGGTATTCTAAACCACTTTTCATGAACCAGTGAATATTCAAAGAGAGCTAAATCGGAAGCCTGTACAAAAAGCTTATTATCCTTGTCACACGTGCCACACTATACAAACTTCGGCTTTTGTCAGTCCTTAACATCTACCTCTCTGAATTTTCATGAATTTCTACTTCACAAGGATGATTATTTCATATATACTGGCAGCGGCATACAAATAAATACTTAGTATAAATGGGGGAAAAAAAACAAACAAAAAAAACCCCTGAATATGAAATGTGACTCTTCTCGGTAAATATCTCAAAAGGGAGGTAAGGAAAATTCCCCTTACCTATTCTGCCCCTCATCTGAACTCTTATTTTTCAAAATGAACTTAATATTTGCTTCCTTTTCCTGGGTTTGAGTCAGCCAATATCAATTTTTCCTTCTAACCAAAATAGCTTTTTGTTACACCCAGGTCTTCCCAGACCACGGAAGTGTATTAGGAAGTGATAGTCAATTCATGCCTATTGAATTTCTCTAAGAGGTACTGGCCTTGGGAAAACCCCATCTGCAGCTGAACTGTGGGGAACAGACCCCCAGGATCAGCGTCAAGCATGTAACTGGAGAGATAAATAAAAGGAGGAAGTGGTTACCAAGAAGGGATCAGGGAGATCGCGCTGGGGGGGGGGGGGGGGAATGGGGCTGAAGTCCATCGCTCATAGATGCGTCCTGTAATGATCAGAGTCCAAAGAGATTAGAGCCTGCTACCCGACAGTTGTGAGGCTTCAGGGCATTTTCTAGGGCTTCTCTCTCTTTCACCCCCTTGTGAGAACTGTGCTATTCCTTCCATTTCGCCAATTCTCAATGCCGAGGTCTGAATTCCCCACAGTCTCACATTTAGGAAGGGAGCTGATTGCTGAGAGACAACTACTTTAGGGTAGAATCTGGTCGCTGATTCTGCAAGAACACAGGACAACTGTTTTTGCTTAAATATTTCTTTTGTGTGTGACATCCAGTACTATTTGGAGACGCTTCTGGCTTGACAATTTTTCTTCCTTTTTTTCCCTTGCTTCTCTCATTTCCAATGTTGAGCCGTAATAGCACCCCTCAGTTAAAGAACCTGGGGCAAACATACGTTTATTCAGTTTATTCGCTCCCACAGTGACCAGCAAGGACAGTCTCTACTTCTTGCTTGAGCCATAAAAGCAGGGTCTTTGATCAAAACCACAGAGTATTGTGAAAAAGAACAAGGAAGTTCTGTGTTCTGATGACTTTCAGTAAGTCGTGTCAAGCATGAAATAAAACAAAAGGGCGGAACAATGAGAACAACATGCTACCTTTTGCGGGGGGAAGAAGGGGAAAATAAATATCTTTATATTTGCTTGCATTTTCATAAACTCTTGAAGGAGGATATAATGGAAACATCTATGGATTCCAGGCCTGGGCCATGTAGGTCGAAAACCCTGCTCCACCACATAGCTTAGTGACAGAGGGCAAGTTACTTAACCTCTCTGTGCTTCAGTTTCCTCATTCAAAAAAAGGACAGAGATACAGCATCTGCTTCAGAGCTTTATGAACAAGTTCATGTTGACAAAGTACTCAGAACGGTGTGCAGCATGTAGTAAGTTGTTATTACCGTGTTATGGGTGGCCAGGAGCAGGAAGGATAGCAGGAAAAATGGGGAAAAGAATTTTGACTGTATGCCTGTTAATACATGTAAGTTAATTATTTCAAAAGACTGAAATAAAATTATTAATAGTTAAAAAGTCACTTGCTGCAAATGGATTCCAAGATCTGACCTATTTTGAGGACTGCTAGATTGTTTTATGCTAATTATTGAAAGGGGTCCCTAGACACTCCATTTTTCTGTTTCCCAATGTGGTTTTACCCGGCTCCCTAGCCTTTTAAACTTACAACTTTACATATATATCTCATGTAATCTTTACATCTCGGAAGCGTTAACCCTGTTTCACAGAAAAATATTAAACTAGCTTGTCCAAGATCACAAAGCTAGACAGGGGTAATGGCCAGGTTTACTCTGAGGCCTGACGCTGAGCACCGCCTAGTCTCACAGGCTTCGCCCTTGACCTAGAGAAGCAGCATCTTGGGCCAGGCGTTTTCCTGAGATGCTCCCAGCCTCAGAAGTTTGAGGGTCTCAGCACTAAGCTGTCTGCCCACTGCATGGGCGCTCTTGGCTCTGGCCTTTCATTGCTGTCTCCACTCTTATGTCAAGTCCCCAGAGGCTCTGAGAGCCCACAGGGGCAGAGAGCGTGCCCGCCATCCCCACTCCCAGGGAGGAGCACCAGCTGGCCCTACCCTATCAAACACACTCTTCATGTGGGTGCAGCCTGTGGGCCCTTGGCTCTTGGCTAGAAATGTGCCCTGGGAGGCACATGTTGGGGAAGGTACCCTTGGGCCGCAGGCAGGTTGTGTTTAGGGCCACGTGTGAGATTTACGACTTCCTGTGAAACCTACAAGGTCTCCCGTGGTAACAGTGGAGCTGAACACTAAACTGAAATTATCAACACAATCAAAATGCTTCTGGGAAATGCCACGTTGTCTGCAATGGCATCCTTGTTCTCGCTGGTTTGCACGAAGCAGGTGAGCGCCCAGCGCGGCCTTGGCGGTGCTGTCACTCACCCTCAGCACAGTCCAGGGAGGAAGACTGGGTGACCCCGATGCTAGCCTCTCACGAAGAGTTATCGTCTGTTTGGAAATCAATTGCCAGAGCCAAGCAGGTCATCAGATAAACAACTGCTATTGGACAGAAGCAAGGGCCTCAAAGGCTCCAACGAGATTGTGCTAATTAATCGGTCAACAGCAGAAAGCTAACAGCAGTCCAGGGGTCCGCTGGGGGGCCGTTTCTCCCAGGGTGGGAGCTGGGCGGGGAAGGAGAAGGGTAATAAGAAGCTTTCAAAGATCCAGATTAGAAACTTCTTCAGCTGCCCATCATCTCCCCGAGATAAGATTTTCTAAAAGTGGCTGTTCTTGTTGTTCCCTCTTTATACAGGGCCTTTCAGCAGAAGAGGCTGGAACAAGGGAGAACACAGACCCCAGGAGGTGGGCACGCTGAGCTTCTTTCACGTTTAGATCCATGGAAAGCAGCCCTTCTCCTAAATCTGACCAATGGTGCACACGGCAGGGCGACCACTTGGGCACCCCTAGGCCGCTTCAGTCAGTGCTGGTGTAAGCGCTTTATGCTTCTCCAAGGGCCTTGGTGGTCAGCACCCCATGTATCCCGCAAAGTCCAGGCGAGAGACGTAAAAAAACACAACCGGTAAAGTGGGCCGGGTTATCTTAAAGCCAGATCCTCTCACTTCCCATATTACCTCCTTCTCCCTTTTTTTTCTTCCCTTTATCTTGACTTTTTTTTTTTTTTTTTTTACATTGTGAAGACCCTGGCCAAGATTATTAATTTAAAAAGAAAAACAGTGTTCTTGTTTTGGAACCTGCTGTTAAATGTGACACTCACGATAAACCAGACCAGTGAACTGAAAGTTCTAAATCCTCTTAAAGGCTCATCTGCTCCACTATGGGCTACAGGTTTTAAAAAAATAAACCTGGCTAGGAAATCACTGTGTTTGGGGCCTGATAAGCAAGACTGCAACAACTATGAGAGCCTGGTGCAATGACTTAGTAACTGTATTTTAAGTGCGCACGAACGGGCAGTCCATTTACAGAAGCAGGCCGGCTCACTACGATGCTTCCTGACCCCCCTTACTGTTTCTTGGGGCTGCATGTCCTCCCCAATATGGGCGAGCACCATTATCTTCCCTTCCCAGATGCGTTCAGACACGCTCGAATCTCTGCTTGGAACACAGATCAGGCCACAGCACTGCTTATCAGCAAGGAACTGGATTATCTTAACTGTATAGGTAGACAGCCATTTTGGGGGGGCCTCAAATTTCACAGTGTGAGGCCAACTCAGTCATTTCAACAAAATCAAGAGGGAAAAACTGACAACCTACGCTCAGATGGTTATTTATCTAAAAAGACCTCCTTGAAGAGTCTACAGCAAAGTCTAGTCAGAAAACATTAGCAGAAAAAACCAGCCAGTCAGCTTTCGTTACCAAGAAGTGAATGGTGAACAATCTCAGGAAGTGCATGTGAACATTTCTAATCCATTCTGGGTGCAACTGTAATTTGCCCCATCACCGGCGTGGATAAGTACAGTTTTCGTTCTCTCCCAGATGCCCCGGCCTGCTCGAGACGTGAATTATCCCTTTCTGCATTCGGAAGGACCTCGCCAGACATTGCACGCGAGCCCGCTGCCGATTTATCTTCTCCGTGACTAAAATTCCCAGGAGCTCTGTCTGTGTGCAGACGTTCATCAGCTCGAAAGTAAACACACCCCCAGGCACACATTTCGCCAGGGCTGGTTCATTCCGAACCAGGGCTCTGGTTTTCGTAGCTGCTTTGTCTAAATATTTTCGGGATGATTCATTCATGGTTTCAACACTTCAACAGAGGGCATTCCCAACAGCCCTGACATACCCATATGGAGGCACAGAGCAAGACAGAGAGAGCAAAGGAAAGGGGCAAGGCCATATACCTCGTGGCTCCATCCCAAAGCACCCCCACTGGCATCAGAACAAGGCTCCCCGTTGCGATGAGAGGCAGCGAGTTTCCCTCTTCTCTGTAATAATAAAAACTCAACATGCTTGGAGCTCAGTAGGAGAGAGGAGCCTGGCACAGCCCGCCGGACCCGAAGGCCTGCAACGGAATCAGCAGTGAGCTAACCGCTGGAGTGTTCGACAGGACCATTCACACGGGGGCTGAAAAAAATCACATTGGCTTCCCCGTTCTCTGCTGCCCTGCAGAAATGCCCAGGCTCCCCACGGCAGCATCCTCCCCGCCCCGCAACAGCTCCCCAGGGGCAAAGAGACTGGCTCTGTGCATGAGGTCCAAAGGAAAAAAAGACTCAAATTTCCACCGAGATGCAGCCAGTAGCACCATCTTTTAGAGCAAAAAGCTGGAAACAATTGGGGAATGGCTAGGCCAGGGACCAATAATTAGAACAAAATGCTATACAGCTATTGAAAGTGAGGAGCCCACAGGGCCCCCGAAAGGCCCACTCTACAAAAGCTGGCGAAAGACAGCCCACACAGGAA